AGGGAGAAGAACGCAAATAGTGCTATTAGATGAAAGAAGATTAGAAATTTTAGTAAAAGTAAATATATTTTTTAACAATATTATAATTTATTAAAATTTTTTTACAAATATAAAATATGTGAAGTATATGTTGATAGAGCAAAAATAATTCAAATACTTAAAATTGCTTAAAATGAAAATCATAATAAACAAAACTTACTCTAACACCTTGTCTAACACACTAACATGAAGATAAAATAAAAAGCATAAAAATAAAATAAAATTGGGACCATAAAGAGAAAATAACCACAAACATTTACAAGGTGTTGGAGTAAGTTTTGTTTATTGAGTAATATGCAGTCTCAAATGAATTGAAAATCATAAGATAACATTATTTTCATTGATTCTTAAAAAATTTATATTCATTTTTAACTTTAAATTGATAGTGCATTTTACTTGATGATAACTTAAAATGAAACAAACTTTTTTAAATTAAGTAAAATACAGCGTGGGGCAAATAAAAGTGGCCTGGAGAACTGAGTTCCAGGGTGGAAAGAAACACAGCAGAAGAAAGGAAATACAGTATTAACCTGACTATAGCAGATGTTGAAAGTGACTACCATTCATCTCTTGGCACCTTTGGGTCCTGGTCAGCAAGTTGCTGAAGGAGGATCGAAGCTAATCGTATCCACTTGTCTGGGCCACTTTTATTTGCCCCACCCTGTATATCATAAGTGAATTTGAACAGTTTCAAGATGTTTGAAAGCGTTAACTGATTATTTATTTACCTTGAAAGTAATTATTTATCACTGGTTGTAGACATTAAATTAACTCAACTATGATTTAAAATTGCATAAAATTATTATTAATTACTGTATTAATAATTAATTTTAATTCATTAATAAGAGCGATAGGAATTCTTATCCCTTAAGAATTTAAAATTGAGAATATTTCTAAAGCAAGTTTGATGAAAAACAGAAAAAAGCATGGTATATGCATTTATTCATAAAATTATAACTTTTTACTTTGACTCAAATACTAAAACAAAATATGCATAATACATTCATTTATGCTTGTTATATCCTAGCAGCAATTTTATGCTCTTGAGTACAAATATATTGTAACTTCAATTCTGCACAGTTTAACAATTTTTAAGGGCAAGTAGAAAATAATATCCAAATTTTTATTAAATTTACCGAATGTAATACAGTAGAGCATCGATTATCTGACTCAATTGGGGACTCAGGTTGGTCGGTTAACTGAAAAATCGGATAACTGAAAAAAAATGAAAAAAATACATTATTAGTATAGTATATTAGTACATCGCTATTAACCAACTTTGCATTGAATTTTAATCAATGTTAAGCCTAATAATTTTTTTTAAAATAATAATCGTTTCTATTGTATTGTTAAAAATTATTTTTAAATTATTTTATTGCTCACAAAACAAACAACCACTCATAATTAGAAAATTAAATCTTGTTTAAATACTGGCCGCCCTTTAATGGTTGAGCTGTGTTGCCAGCTAAAACGTGCAAAAATTTAACAAAAATAACATTAAAGTAGCCAAGACATAGCCAAATATTGTAGTGCCACATCACTAGCGGATATTTGAAATTTGCCAACTAGAATGGTCGGTTAACCGATGTGATGGTTAATCGGGGGTCAGATAATCGATGGTTTACTGTATTGCCAATTCACCTACTTGTTCATCCTGTTGTTGTCTCAGTTATAAAATTCATACAATTGAAAGTAATGATAACTACATTCATAAATACATAAGAATAAATTGCAAACTAGCAAAATTCTTTTAATATTAAATGTAAGATGCTATCAATTGTAAGAGCTGTTCTGATTTCAGAGACATTAAAGAATTAAAGTTGTTCATTGTAGAATTAAGGAAATACAATAAGACATGAGAACAAAATATAAAAATTTTTATTTCTTACTTATAATAACTTATAAAATTGGTTTTATGCTCATGGTTCACATCCAAAAAGTATAATTGTTAAATATTATTTTGCTATAATTTACCAAATTATATAATTTAGTCTGATATGAAGTGAAATGATTCATCCACATTTCTAAAATGCATAAATTATAATGTAATTTTATTTTTTTCTGCTAGGATTTAATATTTTTTGTCTACATTCTGATTATGTTACATATTACAAAAACAATTTACAAATGGTTTTAAACAATAATAATTACTATTATTTAAATTACTTATAAATACATAACTTAAAAATTCATGTAAGAATATTTGTTTATAATCAAAATTTTGAAGAAAATGAATAAATTGTTGAATATAATAGCAATTCTGAAATGCATATGGTTTATTTTATATAATTAAGTTGTTTACAAAAGAAAATACAATAATAATAAATGAATTTGTCATATAGATAGTTGCATAGAAGTTTCTTGTGCTTTTACCTGATTTGATGCTGTGAAATATATTTGCATCTACAAAATAAGCATAATTGTCCAATCCATAGAAGAACAAAAAAAATTAAATGTGAATTATGTGAATATTTCCAGACAACAAAATACCTAGGATGTAGTTGAATGTTCTTAATAAGCACAAATTCAAACAAAATATGATGACTCCATAAATACAGTAGTAGCATGTCATTGTTTCTTTTGAAGTTTAATTCATCAAGGATAGTTTGTTATTGTTTTACTGTAAGTTATTGACAGTGATAATGCCACAAAGACTGTTTAAAGAAAAGAAGAATTATTGGGAGATTAGAAGCAGGCCAATTGCAGATAGATGTGTCCAGAATTCTGAATGTGACTCAGATCATTATATCCATACTTTAGACCAGGGGTGTCCAACTCACAGCCCAAGGCAAGTTCCAATGTGGTCCAATAAACGTGTAAACAAAACTGACAAATTTTTTTATTTATTTCAATGGCATAAACTCAAAAAAGAAGTTTCACAAAGCCATAAATCTTTATACATCTTTTATTTTTGAGTGGAAAGGAAATATTTTCAAATACTTGGAAATGTGTGAATGAGGAAGGTATACTAAATAAAGCTGGAGTTGTGACTCAAAGGAGTATAGAGTCAAATTTGGGGAAAGGAGAGAAAGGCCAAAAGATAAAAAGTAGTGAGAAAGGTTAAATAGACCTTCTGTTATGCACATATTGACCCTTAATTTTTCAATCTTCCTCACTTCCTTACCTTTTGTCCTTTCTCTCCTTTCTGTGCTTTTGGGTCTATAATCCTTTGAGTCCCAACTCCAGCTTTATTTAGTATTCCTTTTGCAAGATTTGGCTATCCTTTTATTAGTTTGGCATAAAAAAAATATCATTTGGTGCATTGGCTACTTTTTTGGGATACATATTATTTATAAATATATTAGTTGAATAAAAATGCACTTTAAAAATGGTGTTTCATCGTTTTTATTAATTAGAGACCCAAATAAAACAAATATTGGTGTTTGACAAATAAATGTTTGTCTGTCTCCTTTATAATAAATGAATTTATCTAATTCTAAGTAAAAATTGAAAGTGTCTGTAGAAGTAATTTTTTAAAATATCCTTTTTTGTAATAAAGTTTTAATACTTATTACTATAATGTCAACATGTTAATTCTTAAATATACTTGTATATTTAAGGATTAGGCCAAAATATACTTGGGCCACAAGTACAGTATATATAATATACTTGTGGCCCAAAATTCTATGACTTTTTCCAATGTGGCCCAGAGAAACAAAAAGGTTGGACACCCCTGCTTTAGACCAAATTTCAAAGAACAGGACATGTTGGATGTCAGCAAGGAAGTGGACTTTGACGAGTTACCACATCTCAATAGGATTGCTTTGTGATGTTAACAGTACAGGGTGGACCAAAAAAGAATATACGTATTTCAAACTGATATATTTAATAAACTGTAAGACATACAACTATGGAACTTGGGACACATATTTATGAAACTCTCTAGTTTATATTACAGGTGTTCAATATGTCCGCCACCAGCGACACGAACGGTCCGGGCGGGAGTTTCGTCCGGGAACCGGGGTCCGGGCAGGAGTTCGGTCCGGGCTTCATAACTAACCTGCGTCTCNTTTACATAAAAATACTTTCTTTTACATAAATGTTGAAAAAATTATTCAACAAAAAGATGATATAAGCACAGGAATGGTTATCAATGCAAAATTGGTGGAGATCAGTATGTTGAAAATAGACAGTGAGATAGCTAGTCTATAGAGAATAAAATTATTAATATGGCATGTTGATATTATTTTAGTAATTTTTGATCATAGTTTACAGAACAAAAAATAGTGGAATTTGCTAACACATTACATTCAAATATAAAATTTGATTATAAACTAGAAACAGAAAAATGAATGAATTAGTTAGATATTAAATTAGTGAGACTTGAAAGGTCAATAATAATATAGACATATGAGAAATCTTATAATATTTGGAAAAAATATAAATTATATGTCATGTTGCCCATTGTAAAAAAAAAAAAATAATAATAATTTTATTGCTGCATTATCTAAAATCTAGAGAAGAACAATGAATAAATCTGATAAAATAAAAGAACAAGAAAAATTAAAATATAAATTTATGCTAAATCATTATCCTAATAGGTTATTAGAAAAATGGAATAGAGATTATAGTGTTTATAGATTTAATGTTAAAAATCATAAAGATAATGTATATGTTTCATTTCCATATATTTCTATGATTTTTGAAAAATATAAATTTATTAAGCATTTTTAAATAAGACTAGAAATTAATTTAAAAAATAAACTAAAAAATAACCTTATTGAAAAGAAGAATCATTTAATGTTTTAAAATGTAAAGGGAGTTATATATAGATTAAATTGTGCTTGTGACAATGTAAAAAAGTTTTATTATAGGAGAAATAAAATGAAATGAATGTTGAATGATAGATTGAAAGACAATAATAGTTGAAGCTGGAACTTCCACAGTATATAAAAACACCAAATACACCTTACATACTCTTTTCTATCTGCACTTAAAAATCAACAAAACTCAGAAACCTTTTAATATGCAGTCTTTTTATCAAATCTTCTAACGCTTTCGGTCAGTTGATTGACCTTCAGGAAAAATCAAAAAATACTGATTTCTAAAGAACTAGATGTAAAAGAAAATTTAAGAATGTTCCAAAATAGGTTTCGTTCTTTAGAAATCAGAATTTTTAGATTTTTTCTTGGAGGAGGTCATACAGCTGGACTGAAAGCATTAGAAGATTTAATAAAAAGACTGCATATTAAAAGGTTTTTGAGGTTTCTACACCTTACATATTTTTCCAGCAATTAAATTTAATTAAAATAGAATCTCTATTTAAAAATCTGACAAAGGTTTACCAATCAGTCTGAAAACATTAGTTTTAATTAAATTTAATTGCTAGAAAAGTATGTAAGGTGCATTCAGTGTCTTTATACACAGAGTGAAAGAACATGAAGCATCAATTCTATTGGAACCATGTGTAGTCTTAGTGAATTGAACATTGTAAAATTTATAGAAATAATGTAATAATATTATTTAAAAAAGAGATCTTTATCTAAGAAAATTTAAAGAATATGTGGTAATAGTTAATCATAAAAAGTTGATTAATTTAAATACCAGCATGGATACTGACATAATGTGGAATGACATCATTATCAATTATAAAGACTGTAATATGCATGGATTTGGATGATGTGATGAAGTTAGATGAACTTTGTATATAAAATCTCTTAAATTTTATAAATTTGACCTTTATAAAATGTGTAGATTATATACATATATATTTGTGTTTTTATATTTTGAAAAGAAAACATTTTTTTTAAAGTAAAAAACAAAGCCTGTTTTTTTTTCTTAGCCTGAAGAGGGATTAGCTGAGTCCCAATCCAAAATGCATCATTTTCAATAAAGGGCAATTTTATCTGTCAAGGTCTCTGTTTTACTCAGATTAGATTTAGATGAGGCTTCATTATATAATTAATATTAAGATCTACCTTTAGTTTCATTAATTTTGAAAAAAATAACTATTACTCAGCTATCTGATGACATTACCTGGTGTACAATTGGGCCACAACTGTAATCATTTACATACCTCTATGAGACATAGGGGTATGTCAAGTTTTACAGTAATTGCACATTTATATCTGTTGTGTAACTTTCTGTTAAATTATTTTATTACAAACCTCATTGAACTGCAATTTGAAAAATTATAGACCTATAAATTTCCACTGTCATCCATCCATCTTTCCTTAATTTCAAGAACAGAGATAGATAGATGAAAGCAGAAACCAGATATGGAAAGATTAGGGGCAGGATGCCCTGATTAACTATGTGAGGATCCGAATTTGGACTTTCCGTGTGTTTATATCATTTCATCATAAGATCACATCGTAGTCATACTTTAATTCCATGGTGTCATAAGATCACAGTGCAGCTATACTTTCGTTCAATAAATGTCAATTGTTACACCTGGGAGTTAAACATCTGTTAAGTTCTCAGGCCTAATAAAGACGCTTTCTCATCACCTTTCGACCTAGTATCGCGATTTTAACAATTCAACATTAGACAAGAACAACAAAGTGAGTCAGTCGTCCCCAGTTCTTCCATCGGATTACTTCTACATAATATCTGTGCTCCTTGGGATACTTCTTTGCTTGTAAATATCAAGAATCGCCTAATATCAAAGGAAAAGAACATTGGACTATTGGACTTAACACTACCTACCCGAACTTTCTGTCTTACCAACTGGATCCAGATCAAGATATCAAAAAAGGTATTTATTGCCACGCGTATGAATTGTAAACTCTCTCTCTCGAGAACGCTCAGTTAACTTTACTATCAACATATTGTAAGATATGTATTCCCTATTACCCATTAAACATTTGATTTGTTATGTTAATCTAGTCTACGAAGGAATCACTTCCGGTGCTCTGTCTCTCCTTCTATCTCGACTCTGATCGCTCACACACACGACCGCTCACGCCAGAACGAAACGGTTTCTGTGTCTAGCCGTGAAGACACAGTGGTGTCAGTCCTGACAAAACCTGTCATTGCGATCTTCGCCGACGCGATGTCGACCCTTCGGTCACGTGGTGCCGAAGTATAGGGAGGCCCTTCGGCATTGTCACAACTATATATGAACTTCTGATGCAAACCAAAAGTCAAGTTACTTCAATTAAAAATTTTCCCTAAAAGAGTGAGATAGATGACTGGCATGACTATTGCTAGCAGGAAAAGTATGATGTACAGGGGCAAGACACTACTAATTTGAGATGGCAAGCATATATTTTGAATTAAATAAAATTGAAAAATATGATTAAAAATTGCAGCTTGGCATTGTGGTGATGTCACAATAAATAATTGCTCATTACTTTATAAAACTTTTTCTTTTTATTAAAAATGAATGAGGGTGACATAGTCCAAGAAACATTGTCAAAAATGATATAGCTTATTTTCTTTCCAGTAGGTAGTTTATATTTCAATTCACAAAAATTTTTTTGAAAATGTTTCTTTAAATGTAGAGATTTTAACTTAAAAAATCTTAGTCATATATAATAGATCAAACATATAAATCTTTTTGTTCTTTCAAATTTCGAAAGCTTTATTTTCATTGAAAAATTCTTTGTGCAATAAATATATTGAATTAATAAATAACTTTACATGATCATTGTTCATTTACACAGTATTATATTTGAATATGTAAAAATATAAGTTAACTTACTTTTGGTATAACATCCAAATATTGTTTTGAATTGGATAATTGAGTCAAGAATCTAAATCTATTATCTTGTAAAACATATACTCCCTATAAATATTAAAAATATATTAAATATTTTATAAATTAAGATAACCTCAAAATTGATTTATAATGTAATACTTGATGATTCGTTCTAAGATTATCCACTTGTTTTTTGTAAACAGAAGACCAAAATTCTTTACACATAAATTTCATTGTATCTAATTCATCCTTAAATCTTGGCCAGTCCTTTGTTAACCTAAATTTTAAAAATATACTTAAATTTACTAATAATAATAATATTTTACATTAAATAAAAAATTAATTAATTTTAAAAATTCAATTTTAGTAGTTCATATTCTCTAAAAAAATAAAATTTATTAGTATATTTTAGTGTTTAAGATTACACTATCATAGAAGGAAAATTTGCTGCTAATTATATAAATCATTTGTTTCAAAACTAATATATTTCTCAAAATAAATAAAAATAATTAAGTAATTTGTCAATTTATCAATGTATTATAATAAATTCTATTTTGACTGAGAAAACAAGTTGTCGGTTTTTTCGACATCAAAAAAGTCTGATGCCAGAAAAAAACGTTTCCAATGTTTAAATTATAACTGATTAAAAACACGAATACAAATCACATCAGTTTAATCACTCAAAGCAAATGTTTTCAGTCCTTTTTAAAGGCCATCATCAGACTGTTATGTGAAATCAAGGAATCATTTTAAATATAGTAGAATATGGAACACTGAACAAAATCATAATATACACAATTCAAAACTTGCAACTTTGTGAATGGTTGTAAAAGTTATAGTAATATTAAATAGATTTACATCAAAATAAATACTATGCAAATGCATAAATTACATTTGTCTAGGAATTTCATATATAGATCTCCAAGCTCCTCAATATAATATCCTAGTCTTTAAAGTTTATCAATTTTTCCCATTTTTTAGATTTCTAGTGCTTCCATATATTTAATTATTTTTGAGAAAGTAAATAAAAAAACAGCAGTGTATCTGCTGGATAAATACGCCCCAAGATGCATGTTCAGATTACACCTCCCTCTTAATGGTCTAAGGATTTCAGCATCCTCTCAATTCATAAAGACTGATTCATCCAAAGAAAACATCACTGAAGCAGGAGAAGGTATTTTCTTTCTAGCTGTATAATGATACAACCCAATTTTATAACATCTCCTATGAAATTATTAAAGCTCAAATGACAAGTAGAGCAGTGGAATGTACTGTACATTATCTTGACCATAAACAAGAAGAGACACATCAATGTAGCACATATCAGATACATCTCCCAATCCCTTAATCAGTGGTTCATGAAGTGTAAAGATGACATTAAAAGAGAGAACACTACAGTTTTGTTTTACTACATACAACTTCCGAGCATTGAGGTACATTGGCAGGAAGCCAAAATTATAAGAACCATCTCTCATCCCTCACACCAAAAGCATTATGGAAAGGTGTGAAATTTATAACCACTCTGTCATTAATATGTGCATAAACAGCAGGGACAAGGAATCCCTTCCTCCTACTTGGCAATATTTCCTAACTCTTTCATATCAACCACTGCCTTCATAGCCCACCTCCACTGCTTGTTTATTTTATTGGAATATAATAATAAAATATACATTTTATATTTACGAGACTGATTCCACTGTTGGTAGCATGTGCAGATGATGAAGTCAGCATGGTTTAATTTTCAGCAGTGGCATACATGTCTGGATCAACATCACTCATGAAACTATGAAAGATACCAAATATGAAGTCATCCATGCATTAGCAACAAAATAGATTGTTCCTTTTATGTATAAATAAAAATATAATTTTGTAATATTTTAATCATAAACTTGTTTGTAACAAAAAACTGCTTGTATTTTTGTCACGGCTATGTATCCACCAAATTTTAACAAATACGGTTGAAGAGGGACAGACAACCTGTCTGAAATGCATATTGTTGTCATAATAAGCCTGTGTTTGTCTACTTCTGTGTGATAACTCCAACACATCAATAGTGTGTGATAAGTCCCCCATAGAACCAAAACTTAAGTGCTCATAGTTCCTTAGAAAAAAATACTATTAAAGACTAGTGAAAATGGATTAACCAGCATTAATACTTGAATATTCTATTTTTTCAATGTCTGTATAATAATATTCTTTCTTCTATGCATAATAACGAATGGTCAGATAGATTTATGACTTAAGAAAATTTAACTAGAATTTTTTTTACCTGAATTAGCCAAAAGGTTAGAAATCCTATGCTTCCAGATTATACCCCAGTCAAGATCAAAATCTTTCAAAACAATTCAAAAGATTGGAACATTCAAATGGAAATATTTGGTGAAAATTATTCATTATTATGATTTTGAATTTGAACTCTGGATTTATTAGTTTTTAACCATTCAAAGTACAAGTTTTATAAGTTTGAATTTGAATCTTCAAATAAAATATCACTTGCAATGGAATGACAGAAATTTGAATACCTGTCCCAGTGTATCAGTTGTGTGTTTAGTTGTGCATCTTGAAAAATTTTCACTGATGATGGCCTTAAAAATGTTTTGAGGTTAATATATTGCAACTGAAGATAAAGATTAGAGCTACTTTGGAAAAGGATGAGACTGCCGATGACTCACATTTTCACTTGGAATACTAGAGACACATTAGAAGAATTAGTTTAATGAATTGTAAAATAAGACTTTCCTCATACAATATATGTTACTGACTTTTGTGTCTTTTTAAACAGAAAATGAACAAAACACTCTTACACACGTTGTGACATGTAGAAAAGGCCCGGAGGGTAAAAAAATACAAATGAAGAAATGACAAATTAGAGCAAAGCAAAGCAATGATGGGCAAAGCAAAAGTGGTTTATGCTTTTATTGAAGTTTTATTTTAGTGAAAAATAAGTTATATGGAACATAGCTAGGGCCATGAGTTTATCAAATTGAAGGCCTCTAATTATAGCACCCTGTTCAGGTGCATAGCCTGAACATTTAGTAATTTGCCACTGCTATCATACATGCTTAATTTTTTAAAACTACATTTATTTATTTTTTCTGACTATATCTAAACAAATATTCATAATAGAAACATAACCAAATGATCGCCTTAAATAATTGGGCTATAACTATACTAATTTAATGATTAATACTAAGTAATTTGCTACTAGTGGTAGACATTAAGCACCATCTCTTAACTAAATTAATAATTATATTATTAATTTAGTTAAGAGTATTAATCATTAAATTAGCCGAGTTACAGCCTGATTATTTAAAGTGATCATTTGGTTATGTTTCTGTATACATATCAGACTTTGCAATGCTTGATATAAATATTCATAATAAAATTTACCTTTCAACAAGGCGATATCCTGTGCAAAATCCAATATTTTCTAATTTAGTTACTGCTGTTTCCTATGGAATAAAATCATAATTTTATAAAATAAAAATGATTTTTTAATATATTTATCAATTTATCAATGAAATTTCAGCTAAATAGAAATAAAATAATAACTGTAAAATAAATACAAATTATGTATTTTATTTATATTTTCTCTTCAAAATGTGCAGCATTGTGCAGTGTAACAAAGTTATTTTTTAATTACAATTATTAATGAAGAATTTAGAATGATGTATTTATAATTCAGAAATAAAATTTATTATCAAGCTGTAAAATAAATTTCATACCACATATTTTGATATGTATATAGCACCATTAATGCAGGGCCATGAGATAGGAGCTAGGAATTTTTCCTTGGCCTGTAGTGATTCGTACTCCTATAAAATTACAGTAGAGCATCGATTATCTGAAACAATTTGGGACTGGGGTTGTTCGGATAATCAATTTTTCGGATAACGAATTACATACAAAAAAATATGTTAACCTATCCCATGTTAAAATTCATTCAAATCCTGGCATGTTCTTAAGTACCCTCTCATGGTCATGCTAGTGCTGCCAGATAAAGCATGCACACCAACAAAAACAATATTGGCGTAGCCCAAGACATAGCCGCGTATTGCAGCACCATAGCACTAGCAGAAATTTAAATTTGTCAACTGGAGCCAATGTTTTGGTTGATTGATATTCAGATAATCGATGCTCTACTGTATTGTTGTTTTTTACTAACAGAAAATAAAATCTTTAAGACTGCTATTTGTTAACAAAGAAATATTCTACATACACTCATTGCCATAAAAATTAGTGCACCAAGAAGGAATTGTCATATCGCTGCCAAACTTGGCATGCAGATAAATCTCAAGCAGATAAGGAAATAATTAGAATTATAGCATAATGGCTCATTATGAAATGCCAGCAGAGGGCGTTAAATTGCATCCTCCTTGGCCTATAAAGCATGCAAAGGTATCCTTCTGTAGTTTACTTGCTGTATCACTAGAGATGCCTTCATGTCATAATCGAAGACCATATGAACAACTAATCGAGTTTGAAAGGAGAAGCAGGATGGTCATTTTGCCGAATAGCCCGTCACCCAGACCATTCTGACAACACTGCAAGGAAGTATTGGGACCAATGCACGAGAGAGAGCTCGCACACATGATGGCCAGGCTCAGGACATCCTCAGCAGACCACTAGCCGAGAGGACTGCCTGGTCTTACAACAAGCACACACAGTCAACCAATATGGTCGGTTGTTGTCCATCATCTGGACACAGGTGGTGCCATCATTATGGGCCCATGCCTGTCCACACTATTTCAAGGCTCTTGGGTTAGAACATTTGGTATCATGGTGGCTATTACATGTGGTGCCATTGACAGCCACCCATTGTTGCCTCCATTTGAAACGGTGTCACTCCCAACAGGATTGGACCACAGCAGAATGAAACCAGTTGTCTATAGCAACAAATCCAGATTTAGTTTGTGCACTGATGATGGCCATGTTAGTGTTTGGAAGACCTGTGGTAAACGTCTCAATCCTTCCTACACTTTGGAACAGCACACCACATCTACAGCTGGTGTGATGGTCTGGGGTGCCATCACATATGATAGTCACCTCTAGTAGTGATCCAAGGGACCATAACAGCCCAGTGGTATGTAAGTGACATCCTGCAGCCACATGTGTTGCCTCTCAAGGCAGGAATCATAAGAGCCATTTTCCAACAGGATAATACAGTAATACCTTGACTTACGCTACCCCAACTTATGTGATTTTCAAATCTCATCAATTCGTTTTTTGTTTGAACGCCACGCAACTCTTGATTACTCATTCCCCCCCACACTATTGTTCAGCTTACATGTTCGAACGTGTCATGCGGAATTGACACATAGCTACAATTCATTTTGTGTTATTATTTCTGTGTTTGTTATATCTACGGAGACTTGAGAGACTCTATGTGGTGATTTCTTGTAACCGTGAATGAATCAAAAGACAAGATAAGATTAACGAGAACATTTATTAGCTTACATACATCCAACTTGGATTTTGCACAAATTGCAAAATTATACCCTGACTTATGCGAATTTGACTTGCGCAGTTATTGCTCAGTCCCACCTATTAAGTTCGGGGTATTACTGTACTCAACCACACACAGCAAGGGTGTCACAAGACTGCCTGCACTACACTTCCCTGGCCTGCCCAATCCCCTGATTTATCACCAATTGAACATGTAATATCTTATTGAATATAATACCAATTGAACATGTAATATCCAATTTTTACTTTGTAATATCATCATTACAGTTGCATGTGTACAATTTTGTCTGGGATTGCCTGGGACAGGAATTTGGCCAAACTAGAGACCACTTGCAGCAACTATGAACTAAGATGCTGCAGACACCATACAGCACCTGTATGCTCCATGCCTTCTGTATCACATCATGTTTTCATGCTTGAGGTGACCCAACATGGTACTAGAACCTCTTTTCATTTGTAGTTTTTCCTGCAATAAATGATCTTTTTGTTTTTACTTTGTAATATCATCATTACAGTTGCATGTGTACAATTTTGTTTGGTTCTGACAACTCCTCCTTTGTGTGCTAATTTTAATGGCAATGAGTGTATTTTATTTGTTCAAAAAACAAAAGTCTCTACCACTGAGCCACATACAAGCTCTTGACAGCCCTGCACTCAGTGATGCACCCAGGGGGTGGGCTAAGGGGCCCTGGCATCCTCCAAAGTAAAAGGAAATAAAACACTACAATAGTAATAACAAACAAAACTTACTAATACACCTTATCTTGCAAGATAAGGTGTATTAGTAAGTTTTGTTTGTTATTACTACTATTGTAGTGTTTTATTTTACTTGCAAGATAAGGTGTATTAGTAAGTTTTGTTTGTTATTAACAGTATGCAGTTACAACAGTATGCTACTATTGTAGTTTGTTCTAAAACTACAATAGTAATAGTGAAACTAACACCTATATGCAAGGAGCAAATAACTAATGTTCTAACATTTTTGGGTACAATTTAGAGACCTTCATCAGAAAATAAAAGAAAAAGACAAAAAAACAGAGAATATTGTTACATTTAAAATAAAAATTCCAAATATTCAAAAAGATGTAATATGTGTTGTTATTGCAGAGTTGAAAGCATAAAAATATAAATAAATGAAAGGCTTTTACATTGCATGATATTAAATAATAAAGTTAAAACATTAAATTCTGGGTGAATCTATAAAATATTTCCATGCTTGTGGTACTATAATGCCATCAGAGTTAACGCAACATTCTTTCTTCTCAGCAATATAGACTTCTAAAGTTTCCAAAGATCGTAAGATCAAAGACTCTGTGTAAAAGTGTAGCTTCATCCCAGCAGGAGAAACGTGAGATTTGGTGGCAAAATAGGCAAGAGCTGTGTTGAAATTCCTCTTGGCCATGTCATATTTGTGGTTGCATATTCTACCTTGCAGGGAAATCCTATGTAAGGCAATTGTGTTAAATTAGAAAAAACAGTCTTACCTTCTTTCCTTCCTAATATTATCATATACAGAAGGTATGTCCAAACAGCCATTTCATCAGGCTATTTTTTAGCCAGCTGAAAAATAGTGCAGCAAAACAGCTAGTAATAAGATTTTGCCAAAAAGAGTTCAACACACTTTCAATATCATTTTATTATCAATGGAGGCATTTTCAGAAAAAATGTTTCAGACAAAATTTTATATATAAAAAACATATTTACATACATTTCCAGCACTTCTTTACAGTTCTAACAAACATTTTTGGCTTGATTTACAGGCCTTCTTCAGGTTAGAAACATTCTAATTGGAAGGAGTTATGTTGTGTTCCAAAATGGAACACTTCAAAGTTTCTTTGAGGTTATTTAAAGTTCTTATGTTGTCACTTAAGATTTATAAAATTCAATAAAATTATTTATTGAAAATATAAAATAACCTATAATAAATATTAACCCCAAGGAGATGATTAATAAAAAGTTTATTAGAACTATAAAGAAGTGGTGAAAACAAAAAGAGTGGTTATATATATATATGATAGAAGATTTAGACAAAATTTTCTTATGTTTTGTGTTTAATCAAAATTTAAATTAAAAAATCCACAAGTCACTTAACTTTCCTAGCAACATTTAAAACTGCATGTGGCACCATCTATTATGATATTTTATTAAAAAACCTTTTTATATTTTTAATTATTATAAAACAGCAAAAAGCGTAATTTTCAAGTAGGGATGGGCTTTATAAGAAAAAATTGTAAATGGTAATTACCAGTAAAATCCAACCCTACTTGAGATATGAAACATGACCCCCTTTTAACTTCCCAATCTGTTGACCTTTAACCACCAAAATTTAATAGCATCAATAATAGCATCAATCCCCCTAATACACAACCTCCCTGCAAAATTTCAGAAAATCTCAACAAAAAGCACAGGAGTGATTAAGCTTCAAACAGGGTGAACAAAATTGTGCCCCCCCACACTAACATCCATACATACAGAAAATATCCCAATTTTTTTGCATTTCTCAAAGCATCAAGGTCCCAAATCCAAAAATGTAAAAATCTTGGGAGGTCATTTTTTGACTGATTGCCATACTTTTCCCTCTGTTATATATAATAGAGCCAGGAAAGTAAAAATATAAAATTGATTCATTAAAACACATATCATAAATTTAATTTTTCATGCCCAAAGTATTGGACAGTGTAAAAAAATTCAAAAAACATTAAAGAAGTTCTAATATGTATGTTATTACATGTATAAATGCCTGCATGCTATTACATGTGTAAAATATATATATAAAATTACAATCAACATAATGTAAAAATTAAAATTCTAAAAAACAATGGAGTCAGAACTTATTACTAATCTTTACCTAATTGTACAGAGGCCAGTGTAACTGGCAAAATACATTTAGGGGAAAGTTTACAGTACACAAAAGGTTACAGTGTTTCTCTTTGCTGGAAACTGGTTTGTTTTTTCAATCTTTAATTTTTGATTCTACTTCATTTTTTATTAAATGTTTTAGAATTAAGAGGTCAATAATCCTCCACAAGTCAGAAAAGAAAGGAAATTTAAATTTTCGTGTACTTGTCTATACTACAATTAAGTAAAGATTACAATCAATATATTTAATTTCAAACATTCATATGCAGTTTAAACTGCCAGATTGAATTTAATCCATATATGAAATATTTAAAAATTATGTTTTATTCAAGACAATTAGGCATACTGTAATATCAGGCAAAACAAGCCATTTTGTCCAATCTGAAATTGGACAGAATGAGTTATTATTATCATTGGCTGTTTTAAACCAATACGATTTATCTTTGATACTTTTTAGTGTTTACTAGTTATTTTTTGACAACTAAAAGTATATATTGACAATATTTGGATGATGTAGATTATATACAAATTATAAATAGTAAAAATACTAAACAAGATATTTGATATTACAGATCATATGTTTTAATAACAATACTGATTATAGTTATTTAAAAATTTGTTTTGTCAGTACATAGACTCAAATAATTTAGTTGTAAAACATTAATTGATAATATTAACTACAGCAATCAGAAAAAATAATGCATTGCACTACATACATACAATACAGAGTATTACAAACTTTGTCTACCATTATGATTAGGATATAAAATCTCATATCATACAAAATAACTTGAAACATTTAAAAAACCAGAAAATATTTTAATTGTAGAAAGGTTAGTTTTCAAACCATTTTTAATTCTATTATCAGATCTGCTTGATATAAATAATATTCGATTAGAATGTTAAATTTATACATTTATTTTAAATTTAAAGAACATAAATTACATAAGAGAGAATTTGGAAGAATGCATTCTAGTATAAAGTTAATACAGAAAATAGCAAATAAATAAATAACTGCAAAAAATTTGAACATTTATAAACAGAGGAGATTTGATGTAATTCAATTATATTTCAAATTTTTAAAGTTATCAAAATGTATTAAAATCATAGTTCTGTTTTAGCATAGGTCAACTCCACATGAAATCAGATTAAATCAACCACTAAGAAGAATATAGGAGTCAAATCTTTTATTAGTTAAACATGTTTTGGGACTTCTCTGTCCCATCACCATACCAAAAAGTTTAAATCATAAATTTTAATGAGAACATCCTTATATTTTCCATTGAGTGTTCTGGAGGAATTCAGAAGTGTTAATAGTTTTTCATAATCATAGTTTTATATCTGTAGATGGAAAAATGTAATAATCAAAACAGTAGGCCTACAACATATAAAAACTATACCATACATTGTTTAGATTATCATCAGTATCTTTATGAGCTATTGTATCATTAATGATGATTCCTTACTTAAATAGTATATACTCTGTGCATGGAAGTATTGTATATTACTAGGGTTACCATATGTCCGTGTTTAGTACAGACAGTCCATACTTTAAAGGCTCTGTCCGTGTTCGTACTATACTTAGAAAAAATAACAAAATGTCTGTACTTTCCAACCAATAACACAGTTAATAGTTAAATCATAACCATTTAGATTTAAATCTGACAAAAGGTGCTTAAATATTTGATAATTATTATTGTATTTGTTGGTTAAATGGCTACATTGTATAATCAAATGTAACAGCTCTGTTGCTTAGAGAACATGCACACATTCATTATAATGGTTTTTTAATTCGATAGTACTTGTTGTCTAAGTGATAAAATAGTTTTCTTTCATTTAAAATTGCATTCTGTGTCCCAAGGTAAATTGTAAATTGAAACTTTATATTATATGCCTCCATTTACTAGACTAGATTGAAAAACATGAATAAATTCCCTTTATTTTGCCATCCAAGTACTTTTAATGCTAATCTGTCCATATTTTGCCTTCAACTGTTACAGTAACCCTAATATTACATTCTAGAGACAATTCAAGTATTATGTCAGCAGTTTATGGGGAACAGAATTTGTTTGTATCTGGCAATTGCTAGCAATGATGGAGGGAGAGCAAGTCTTTGATGATGCAAGACTGAACCATAATTTATTTTTCTCTGCAGTCATCACTATCTAAAAAGAATTTGTATATTTGCAAATGAACGCAGATGAACACATAACCACTAAATAAAATTTAATGATGAGATTGGCCAAGTGTCTGAATGAATACAATAAATGATTTGTGTTCGAATTACTACTTGCAAATGGTTTAACTTCTGATCACATAATTGGGCACTAACTTGATTTCTGATGATCGGTGAGGGAAGGGAAATCAAAATAAGGCAAATTTTTGCTGATTAACATTTGGTTGACCCTTGCAGAATATTTTAAAAGGGAGGAATTAACTACATTATGAAAAATTTTTTTAATTTTTATAATATAGGATATAAGATTTTCTTATTTTTTAAAGACTCCACAAACTGAGGGGGTCTTTGCTACACAGTGTCACAAAGCATACTTAATGAATGGATCTTATTGGAAACGAATGGCATCATTTGGAAGCTTTAAAAGCTATACACGCAGAACAGAAATCATATTTATGCATAAATCTTAGTTTTAAGTTTATACATATTAGCAGCAAGTTTCGAAACTAGCGAGCCGATTTTAAACGAACTAGATAAGAAAACAATTAAACGTGCTTTTCGAAGCTTAATTTACAGCGAATTAAATACATATCAAATTAAAAACAAATCCCTTCTAATTCGTACTTAAAACATGCCGTAATCTTACATATACACTTTCCGATAAAAACTTGCCAGCTGACTCACTTTTTCGTCCTTCTCAGTAGTTCTGAATATAGTAGACGTTATTTCCAGATGAAGCAAATCGAAAACTACATCATCTGCCATAGTTATGGTCATTTTACTACGACTGCCACTACTCTAACATAACGCCTTCATACGCAACCTGGCATATGGCCGACTTTCGTCACTTGCCAACTTAACTATTCAATCAACTAGCCAAAATAACGCCACCTACATATGGCGCATTTTTCAAATTTTTTTAGATAAAAACCGGATTTAAGTAATTTTTAACACCATCTACTAAAAGCAGAATTAGATTTATAACTTTCAAAAATCACACACAAATATTTTATTTTAAATTTTTTATTTGTAAAAAACGAACACGAATTAAATACAACAAATAATAAATATACTACAGTAAATGGAATGAGCAAATGAGTTTATAAACATGAACATTAGTTTAATCAACTTCTTCCATTCGAGATGCATCTTCTTCGTCACCTTCTAATGGAGGCATTTCTTCTACTGCTGCGTCACCTGCACCGCCGATCTCTTCATCGTCTATTCCCAATCCTAATTTAATCATACGGAAGATGCGTGATGCGTGAGTTTGGGGATCTTCGAGTGTGAAACCTGAACACAACATTGAAGTTTCGAAAAGTAGCATAACCAGATCCTTAAAAAAAATAATTTGTTTTAGTATGATGCAATCTTTAAAGTGAGGATAGGAAAAATCATTAATAGAAATAAAAGTTACCTTAACAGATTTGTCATTTTTATCAGCATCGGCCTTTTGTCTTAAAGTATCAACAATTGGATGATCGGGGTTTATTTCTAGGTGCTTCTTAGCTGACATGTAACCCATAGTGCTGGTGTCACGTAGAGCCTGAGCCTTCATAATCCTCTCCATATTTGCAGTCCAACCAAACTGACTTGTAACAATGCAGCATGGAGATGTGACTAGCCTGTTTGAAACAACAACCTAAAATGGAAAAAAGAAGTTAAGTAAAAACAGTATATTTAGAATTCTTAAAAAAACTGAGGAAAAACAAAATTTACCTTTTCAACTTTCTTATCTAGAATATCCTTTATGACTTTGCATAAATTCTCATATTTGGCTTTATCTTCCTCCCTTTTCTTTTTTTCTTCTTCATCCTCTGGTAATTCTAATCCTTCTTTGGTTACTGAGGTAAGTTGTTTTCCATCATATTCTTTTAGTTGTTGGACACAGTATTCATCAATAGGTTCAATCATATATACAACTTCAAAACCACGTTTCCTAACCCTTTCTACAAATGCAGAATTAGCTACATGTTCTTTAGATTCTCCTGTAATGAAGTATATGTGTTTTTGATTCTCTTTCATTCGTGATACATAGTCTTTTAGGGAACACATCTCATCACCAGAAGCAGAGGTATAGTATCTTAAGTATTCAGCCAGTTTCTTCCTGTTTTGGGAATCTTCATGAATTCCAAGCTGAAAAAGAAAAGAAATTTTAGAAAAACAATTTATGTAATTAAAAAACAAAATAAAGTAACTTATTGTAACATACCTTCAAATTTTTGCTGAACTGTTCATAAAATTTCTTGTACATTTCTTTGTCTTCTGCAATTTCATCAAAAACTTCTAGACACTTCTTCACAAGATTCTTTCTGATAACCTTCAAGATTTTGTTCTGTTGTAACATTTCTCTGGAAATGTTCAGTGGCAGATCTTCTGAATCAACTACTCCTTTCATAAAATTCAAATACTCTGGCATTAGATCTTCACAATTGTCCATAATGAAGACTCTCCTAACATATAATTTAATGTTATTCTTTTGCTTTCTGTTTTCGAACAGATCAAATGGAGCTCTCTTTGGCACAAACAACAATGCTCTGAATTCTAATTGTCCTTCTACAGAAAAGTGTTTAACAGCTAAGTGGTCCTCCCAATCATTAGTCAGACTTTTGTAGAATTCACCATACTCCTCCTTGCTAATGTCATCTGGGTTTCTCATCCATATTGGTTTAGTTTTATTCAATTCTTCATCCTCAGTATATTTTTCCTAAAAGGAGGAAAGTTTGTTAAAGCCAAGCTGTAAATAAATTGGCATTTTATGTGGAAATGTTTAAAAAGCTAGTTAAGTTTTTACAAACCTTAATTTTCTTTTTTTTCTTCTTATCTTTGTCTTTATCCTCTGCCTCATCTTCTCCTACATCTTCAATCTTTGGCTCTTCCTTCTCTTCTTCAGGTTCTTCAGTTTCAGCTTTTTCCTCTTCATCATCTGATACTTCTTTCTCTCTCTCTTTTTGGACAAGTAACTTAATTGGATAACCAATGAACTGGCTGTGTTTCTTAACCACTTCTTTAATTCTCTTCTCTTCCAAATACTCAGTCTGATCTTCTTTCAGATGCAAAACAATCTTTGTTCCACGACCAAGTGGTTCACCTGTACGGAACATTGAACATCCATTTTAGCACTGAAGTCTTGGGAACAAAGTAAAGCAAAGGAATTCACAAAATACCACTCACCATGATCTGATCTAACAGTGAATGATCCACCAGCAGAAGATTCCCATGTATACTGTTCATCATCATTATGGCGTGTGGTTACAGTTACTTTATCAGCAACAAGGTAGGCAGAATAAAAACCAACACCAAACTGACCGATCATAGATATATCAGCACCAGCCTATGAAAAAGAAAAAACAAGAATTAAAATCCAAGAACATGCAAATAAAGACTTCTTCAAAAGTGATTTCCAAATTATTATTAGTTCTTACTTGTAATGCTTCCATGAAAGCTTTAGTGCCAGATTTGGCAATTGTACCCAGATTGTTGATCAAATCTGCTTTTGTCATTCCAATACCAGTATCAATAATAGTAAGGCTACGTTCGTCTTTATTTGGAACAATTTTGATGTAAAGATCTTTTCCACTTTCCAAACGTGAAGGATCTGTAAGACTTTCATATCTGATCTTATCCAACGCCTGTAAATAGAAACGAAATGCCATTTAGATAAAAATATATATATATTCACTTAAATATTAATAAATGTATGTAGGCTTACGTACATCAGAAGCATTTGAGATCAATTCTCGAAGGAAGATTTCTTTGTTCGAATAGAAAGTGTTAATGATTAAACTCATCAACTGAGCGATCTCCGCCTGAAAAGCGAAGGTTTCAACGTCTTCTTCCATCATATTAACTTCGGCAGGCATCTGAAAACCACACACAAACTCGTTATTACCATTACTTCACAAAGTAATTGAAGATTCCAGAGTATTCTTTATGGAAAACTTACCTTTGTAGACACGATTTAATTCAGCGAGTTACTCCACTGATTTGAATACTGCAACGCCGGTTTTGCTTTTTATTAACGGCGGGTATCACTACGCGAAAATAGTTCTTGTCGCTGATCGTAGCGAATTTGCAAATCCTTTGACAAACTTAAAAATAATTTTTTACTTTAACGTATTTATAAATAATAATTTTATTAAAATTAAATAAATTTTCTCGAATTAGTAAAGTTACGGCAGCATTCGCCGTGCACTACATTAAAGGAAGTTGTATAATACAACGGTGATAAAGCTAAGTTGAGAAGCTTCTAGAAGTTTCCCGAATTTTCCGGATAACACGTGATCAACTGTGTTTCCGGTTCCGTTTATGGATTGCTTCGTATGCTTGATAATTAAACACGTGTTTTTATCAGAACATACGCTGTGAATAAGCGATAAGACGACTGAAGATGAAACTATAAAATTAAATGACTTAACTAATATGATACACGAAATATATAATGAATATAATTATATTTTAAATTATATTTCCGTATATATTTATTAAATTTACGCTATTGTATATTCCTTATATTATTTTTAAACGTGTAATTCCGATCAGTAATGAGTACGAAGGGTAAGAATAGTGTACTGTATATATATATAAATACATCTCCAAATAACTGACCTATATGGAGAAAGAATTCCTTTAACACACGTGTAAATTCACAAAACATTGGGATGAGTCTAACAATTCAAGGACATTTAAGTTATATTTTGTCTGAAATTGTTTAAATTGAGGTAAAAATGTTAAATTAATTTAAGTAATATTAACGTATATTTTTATAGATATATTAAAACAAAATATTCTTTCATTTACAGTTATTTGCAATTTAAATTAAACGACCAATTCGATTAAAAATGAGAGAATTTTCGATAATTAGCAAATGACTAGCGTTTAAGTTTTGATAGTCATTATAATATCGACAAAATGAATCGGTAGAATCATTTATAAATGAAAATCGAAATTAAGGTTGATGTAATTTAATGTTTTGAGTTTATAAATGTACATTTCATGTAAATAATTTCAATTTACGAGTGTACAGAGAAAAATAATGCAATTTGCTATATTAAAAAAACATTTTGAAATAAAACAATGATTTTAGATATAAAGTTTCGATAATTAAGAACAATATTCTGGAATCTTAAACAACATTAAAACCACGTTGAAATCCACCACACGAAGACTAACATTCCTTTCAGTTGATAAGCGCCCTCTGGCTATTAAAAATAAAAGTACTATAATCGATAAATTTTCATTTTTTTAAAATTTTAGTTTACGATAATGATGAGAAAATAAGATTGAGTAAATCTAAAATAATAAAATAAGCAAAAGAAAAAAAATTGGAATGCATTATTTTTTTAAATTAAAATTACTATGCCTGCATAAAAATATATAATCAATATACATTATTACTCATAATTATATTTTTATTAAATACGCAATAATTAAATATATATGATAAATGAATCAAAAAATTTACATATATAAGAAATTAGGCAATAAAATTATCTCTCATTTATTATTTTTATAAGACAAAAATGGAACAATTTTTTTGACTTCCGCTTTATGGGATAAAGATGGCCTTTTAGGCTAATGTCAGACGAGCGTAAAAAACGACGGACGTGTTAACATTTTTTTCGAGGGAATAACGGGTCGGCATCGTTCCTGTCGAAGGGATTTTTTTTTAACTCTTTCCGCCCTGTGGCCACTAAGAGGTCCTCTTTTTGCAAGCCATTATGGATTCGATCACAATGAAGCGGCCGGATGGTAAAAGATGGAACTCAACATATCCGGAGGGCCGATTCCCTGAAAAATTCCCGGGGATTTTCGACCTAGTCCGGATTCGATCCCGGGTCTCCCATAGCGGTAGGCTGCCACCTTGACCGCTCGGCCATCTGGACATCGAAGAGCTAACGGTGTACAGTACATGCGTATTCTAAAAACATGATTATTATTAAAGCGATTGTACAAATTAATGAGTGGCCAGAATTGAAAGAAACTTCATTTAAACTTTATAAAAACAAATATGAAAAAGGAAAAACGGTTACGATCAAAAGAACCTACCCGATATTGCCTATGTTTTGTTTTTGTTTTTGTTAGTTTTTAAATATTTCTGTACGTAATAAAAATCAAACAGCGCATCGCAATCTATATAAGATCCGTGTTGACATATATGCGTCTGAAATCAAACTGATTACCAACACGCTCCGTGAAAAATGGCATTCGTCTGACCACTGCCTTTCTGTCCGTGAATTTTCGGGTCGCGAATAGAAAAAATAGCGTTTTCACGCTCGTCTGACATGAGTCTTACTCAGGTGTGGCCAAACTTTTATCCTTTAGGGGCTACTTTTTTGATAAAGTATAGTCTCGGGCGACTATGAATATGGGCAAACAATTTTAGGATTTTTATATGCTCATGCGTTAACATTCATTTGCATTGTTCATCGGGATAAATACAAACAGTATGGATACGTTGCACAGACAGTGCACGTATTGTTGTAAGAATAATTTTTTTTTTATTTTTTATTTTATTTTTAATGAAAGGGGCGGAAGACCAGGACTACTCAGGGGTATCGCCTGGGTGAAAAGAAAAAGGGAGAAGGGGTAATGGATAAGGGGGGTAGAAGTGTGATAGGAAGGATGGTGAAGATGAGAGAAATCGTCAGCGCGAACAACGCAGTAATATAAATAGGTGGATACATGTGCGGTATGCAAAAAGAAAGAGTGTACACGTAATTATGGCGCGTTACATATGAAAGAAAAGCTTTGTGGTTATAGAATAAATATAAATACCGGAGTTGAAAATGGTGATAGTTACAAAAGGGTACATGTTTTGCCGGTTATAACGCGGCCCCTGGTGTAGAGGTCAACTGTCGTGTGAAGAGTCCCTTGTCTGATTCCGGTTGGTGAAGTTTGGATTTAAAGCGCCGGTTTCCCGGATAAAATCGGTAAATCCATTGTAGGTGGCACTGTTGTTGATGAGGAGATCGGGCGTGCAGGGCCAGTTGAATCCTTCAGTGAGGGCTTTGTGAATGAGTTGATCCCTCTGTGTGTCATAGAGGTTGCAATCAAAGATGAAGTGCAGGGGATCCTCTATATCGCCACTGTCACACTGACAGAAGGGGGTATCGCTGTGGTGGAATCTGTTGAGATATTGGCGAAAGTTCCCATGGCCAGTGAGGAGTTGGCTGGTGAAATAGTTGCCATTTATGTGGTTGAGAGAGAGACGGTTGGGAATGTTAGGCAGGAATTTAAAGGTAGTCCTACCAGTGTCCGCCTCTTCCCATTCCCTCTGCCACATGTGGATGAGCGTTTCTCTCATGAGATTCTTGACAGCCACCGTTGGGATGTCATCAAAGCTTGGTGTAACAGGAGAAGTGGCTGTCTCCTTAGCCAGCACATCTGCTTCCTCATTTCCTATTACACCTTGATGGGCGCGGGTCCACGATCTTCAGTTCGTCTATGATGAGTTGGTGGAGATGGTTACGCTGGGTTTTCTTGCTTATGCTCCAGAGAGCGGCCTGGCTGTCAGAGCAGATGCAGACCTTCTTCCCGCGGAGCTTGTAAGAATAAATTATCGAATTAAGATTTTTAAACATTAATTTAAGTTAAAGCAAATTGTTCAACTTTAGCTACACGGGCTACTTTCAAAACCTTTGCGGTCGACCGGTTGACCGTCTACGTGTTGGCCATCCCTGGTCTTACTCATTAGCCTATCACATTAGATCCATGAAAAAATCTTAGATTTGCTCTTTGCAATACGGTTTTATTTAGGGTTGACTTGCGTCCTACAAATACGACTTACATATAAACTTTATTGATCTACTTTACAAAAAAAAAAAAAAACATTTTTTTTTATACTCTTTCCGCATTGTGGGCACTAAGAGAGCCTCTTATAGCAGGCCCATTATAGGTTCGGCCAGGCCTACAATGGGGCGACTGAATGGTGAAGGAAGAGGCCCGACATATCTGAACGGATAACCCCCCGAAAAATTCCTGGGGATTCCTTGACCCGTCTGGATTCGATCCCGGGTGGTCTGCCATCTTGACCGCTCGGCCATCCGGCTGTCTAAAAAAAAAAAAACACTTTATATCCAAAAATTAAAGCATTTAAAAAAAATATTAAAAAGTACACAAAAAACATGCAATTAATTTCTAAACGCATGTATAGGATTTTCTGAATAAAAATCTTTAAAATACTGTATAAAATTCTAAATTTAATACGAGCAATTATTTACCAGTATTGTGACATCGTCACAATGACTTAAGTTTAGTAGTGTCTTGCCCTTGTATAGTACATCATACTTTTCCTGTTAATGATGTCATGCCGGTCATCTATCTAACTCCCGTTCAGGAGAAAACTTTTTGATTGAAATAACATGACTTCCGGTCCAAAGCGGAAGTTCGTATACAGTTAAAGTCACTCGAATTGGTAAGAATTGCGCCGGACACCGAATCGACGATTGCTCGCTATGATGAAGCCTGAACAGCACAAATGTATACGCCAAAGCCGGGCGCACAGTCCAACTAATCGGCCGATAGAGAAGGGGAATTTAAAAAAAACTTATCACATTCCCCAGGTGAGGCTCGAACTCACAACCCCGGCATAACTCACAAGTACTGCTTATAAGTACCGTGCGCTAACCAATTGCGCCACTGGGGACGATGGTTTTTCAACTACGTTAATAATTACCAACATTCTCGTTTGTGAACGTAAAACGATCCCGAAATAAGCCAACTCGTAGTTAATTTTTCACGTAGCGTCCGTGTGTTCTATGCGTTTCGCTTTCGGCATAGGTCAAGACAGGCATTCGGAAATAGAAAGCAAAAAACAGAGCACCGACAATCGAACAGTCGTCACGAAATCAATGTCAAAAATTGCAAATTTTGGAATTTTCCACGCTAGTGGGCGAAGTGCCTGGCATGGAATTGGAATAATTTGTTCGACTAAATTCGCAATTGTCGAATTTATAGCAAAGAGAACATTTGTTCAATGACTTATTTCTGTTGCACAATCTGCAAACACAGTGATGCCTCATCCGCAGGCTCACTCTGTAAAAAAAAATAAGTTTGCGTTTCACTTGCGACTACCCGAACGAAGAAAGAAACCTCCCAGTTCCCGAAGATTTCGCGGAACACACATCGAGGATTCCTGGCTGTTGTGTCCGTAAAATAAACGATTACTTGTTAACGTATATACGAGCAGCATCACAAAGACGACGAAGGACCTCCTGGTAGTACTCCTTTACGATGGTTTGGCCTTTTTCACTCACGATACACCACCCCACGAGAGTCGAAAAAATTGTCAACATGACCTTGATATTGCTGCGAACCTGCCGCACTTTTTTGGCCTCGAGGATCGTCCCCGAAAGCCTGCTAAATCTTGCGAATGGTCTACACTTGGGTATCGCCAAGGTTTTTGGCAAAATTTGATGCAATTTTGCTCTCACGTTGTTCAGTCATTTTCAACTTAGTGGAATCCGACGAGCGCTCACTACATGTACTCACTCATAGGCCGACTGCCAGCGACTGACGCTTCCTGCAGGCGGGAAAAAATTCAGGACTGTGCATGACTGTCCCCTCCACAACTCCACCGAAAGAGGCCTCCCGCGCATCATTGGTTTATGCGGAAAAAATAAAAGTCCGATACTTTTTGAACAGACCTCGTAATTAAGTGCTACATTTGTTTGAAATGTGCTAACTCACGTCTGACCGGAGACAAAGGAGCACGACAAAGGGTAGAGGTGCGGGGTCGCCTAACTAGGTCAAGGGGCAATTCGGTGTGGATTATCCCCTGGAGATTTACATACATAACACTGGGCCAAAGTCACGTGGTTAAAACAAAGTTCTACATTCATTTTGCATTCTATACAGTGTATATGTTGATTTGGGCAATTTGGATAATAAAAGTGGTGTGAACGTTTTGCAAGAAGTTAAAGAAAAAATCGAATTTATTATTACCGGAGAAAAAATCCTTTAATCGTGAACAAAACGGCAATGAACTTTTTGTTATTACGAGTATTTTCAATACGAAAGCTCGGAGTTTCGTGCACCAGACGCAATTGTCAAAGAAATGTAATTTCGGCTTCGTCTCTATTCGTAAGGATGATTATTAAGTTTAAATTTAATTTTGAAACGCGATGCGCTTGAAAGTTTGGCGTGTGTCGGGTCGAGAACTGCGACTTAACGACGCGACCGGTAAATCGGACGGGGCGAAATGCTTTCGGGTCGAAACGGGGGACGTAATCTAGAGGAACGTTATTGATCATGTTTGATTAACCTGGAGTAAGTGCTTGTGGTGTAGCGGTCATCACACCCGCCTAACACGCGGAAGGTCCCAGGTTCGATCCCTGGCAAGCACAATCTACATTTTTTAAAAGTTTCGCGGATCTTTGCGTGAATTTCATCATTCCGTAGACGGGCCTTTTAAATTATTGAGCAAATTCGCCGAAACTCACCTCGCTTTCCTGGAAAACACCGTGCTTTCTTAAGGAAGGACAGGCAGTTGAACAGACAACAGTGGTAATTTATATGTCTACAATTTTTTCGAATTGTAGTTCAATGACACCTAATCATGTAGCAGTCATTACTATATTTTCGCCCCGACAGATGCCTTTCAGCGAAGAAATTTCTTCAAATGTTATATCAGGACTCGTAAAATATAGATTACCAGTATCCTATTTTCATCATATAATTGTGTCCTACTATCATTATACTTATGTAGTTTTAATGAATGTATGCCAAACGCTAATACTGTATTCATTTCTTAATTCTAAAGTAATACTCATTAATTATTTAAGGAAAATCTGTTTAATTGAAGAATAAACGCGTTTTAAATATACAGTAAAATACAGTGTTTTTAGTACTAGATTCATATTTTCAGGATAAAGAAGTCACAGAAAAAATCAGAAATTTGAATATTTTCAAGAGATATTTATATAATTCAATTATAATTATCGCAATGATATTCTGAATAACTTGAAACATGCAGATTTTATTGATTGTGCAAATACAACCAAGAAAATACAGTAATGTGTTGTTCATTGTATTTATTTGACTGTATTTCCTCTTCTGTAAAAGTATTTGGAATAGGTTTAGTGGATTCGTACGAATGTGTTGATCAGAAGAATAAGAAAAATAAGAAATATTTTCAATTTTACGCAAACTTAATTGAAATATATCTTTGGCTGAAAAATCTCGAATTTATATTACAATTGCTAATACCAGATTATTATTGCTTTCGAGTAATGAAGCTGTACAAAAAGCATTCGACTCCAACTTCGCTAACTCTTCCATTTATTGCAGTATATATTCCTTTACAATTTAGTATTATATAAACGAAAAAATTCAATTTGCATTACTCGAAATATAATTACGAAGAGTACAAAATTGCAAATCACATATAGTTTAGTTTAGTTGTATATTTAACCTTCGTCTTCTTGGTTTGGTATATCCAATTTTCAGATGAAAAAGGATTAAAATGAATTCTTTCATAATTGTAGCATTTTTAATTAATTATCATTCTAAACAAATGAAAAACTATTCAAGGTTATATTATATTAAAAATATAACTATGAAAATCAAGAGAATGTTAACGAGGCGAATATATTCAGTATATTATGTACAGTACATAAACACATTTCTAATTAGAATAACATTTTTTCTAATTAAATATTCGGGCATAAACATTTTAAAGAATATTAGTGAATCTTTCAAACATAATTCCGAGTAGAAAGTTCAATACACATAAAGAAGAAATGCCCACTGCACAACGTAAATAATAGGTTAACTGGCTTTCCTGTTCTATTGAATCTTCCATAGTAGTATTTTCTGTATCGGATGTTATATCTCCAAACTCTTGCAAACTGCCTTTATTCACGTGTGGACATTCAATTGCATATATCTGCAAATAAGAATTTATGAGTTAAACTTTTGTTTAAATTTTACTAACTGAATCCGTAAAAAGCAACGAAAGATTTTCTTATAAGCATGACTACAAATGATATAAATTTAAGTACTTACTGAATTTTCATCTCTATCGCCAAAAATCCTTCGGGCTTTTAAAAATAAAACTTCATTCTATATCAAAATATATAATTTTATTACTTAAACAAGCTTATAACTATGTACAATATAACATAATTCAATATCGTTAGTTGGAAAAATCATAAATCTAAAATGTTATTTTTCCAACAAATTATGGCTCGGACAAACAATATAAATAAGGGATGGAAACGACCAGAGCTACCCACTATATGCTGAGAGTTCGGAACAGAATTGAAGTATTGATAGAAGGTTCTATTTGTCTATATTTTTATCTGTTTCAGTTAATAAATGAATCGAGTATATTTCGTTTTTAAAGTATCTTAACGGCTCGTAGAAAGCCACAGCCGAAATATCTCATTCAGAAAATTGTAAAACCACTAAAAAAAAAAAAGTCGGATAGAGTAGGATTTGTATGTAAGCTGACATGATCTCATTCAACCTGGATATGGTCCTAATATTTTAAATTTACTATTATTTGTATGGAAGGAAAGGGCCTCTTATGTACTACAGCTTACGATAATAAGCCTAAATTTGGCCGTGACGTCAGATCAACTACATCACCTTCAATTCCTCATTTGTCATTTGTAAATCTTTCATTCCGTCTGTCAGCTTTGTCATCTCAACTCTTAAATTTTTAAAGTAATTTACATCGGCTTCCTAAAAGTAAAAAATAAGTCATGAATTATATTTCAATATTTTAATATTAAAAAATAGTTTTAAAAAGAAACTAACTGTAGTATTACACGTATAAACCGACAGCACATCTGAACTTTCTTCCGGAGTAACGGTTGATGAACTCTAAAAACGTATACGATAAGTTAATTAGAAAATATAAGAAGTTTAGATTAATTCATTCAAATCACTTACCGAGTTGATTACTTCACGAAAGACACATAGCAACTTTTTTTCACGTATGATGGTTGGATCCGCTTCACTCCACTGTATATATAAAATGAAATGTTTATTAAATTTATTCACGTAAAATAATTAAAATTGAGGAAAAAATATATAGAAAGAATACCATTTTTTCATGATCAATTCCACTTAGAGGAGCAGGCATGGTCTGTACTAAGAATTTATGTTTAATGTATTCTAGCGGGTTGTACGTATTTGATAAGACTTTAACTGAAAACAATTATTTTAGAATAGCTTATTAATGAATATAAAAGTACTTTAAACTAAAATATAAACAACAAAATATCCGAAAAACTAATTGTAAATGCTTACCTCTAATTGAAACTTTTTCACCAGATTCAACGTTTCCATAAGATGGTGAAACTTGATATTTTGTTGGAGCTGTTGTCTTGATTTTAAAACAAACAGTTTCAGATTCATTGTTCTTTAATTTAATTTCGTCTTCTTTCCAAGTGAATAAAAAATGATCATCTTGATTCTGGTTTCGTGCAACTGAATTAAAATATTCAATAATTAGGAAAGTCACTATTTATTCCTTGACGTAATTTAAATCTTAAAATGACAAACAAAGGAAACGAAAGTTATCGTATATCTTTTAGAATCAACTGTGTAATATATATAATGAATCTCATAATGGATATTCTTCTCCGTAAAACTTTAAAGTGTCATTTTTGAAATCATTTAAGAAAGCGATTAGGTTATTAAACGTTTATTTTCTTTAAGAGAAATCCTAGTATAAAACAGATAATTATAGAAAAAAAGGTAATTTAGTAGATAAATTATAGAAAAAAGGTAATCCAAAATTGGAAAAATAAACAATTTTTTTCTAGTATCAAAAGGGAAGGTGATAATATTTTTTTAAGGGAAAATGCATTTTCAAGACTAATAAAAACTGAAATTGCAAGAAAATCCGCCTTCAATAATTCTTAAACCTTTAAATAATTTAAAATCCAAGAGCTTTGGAGCCATCTTTAGGCATTTGGTGGCTTTAAAATGAACAATATCAAATATTATTAAGCTGACTATCTTCAAAATTTTAAAGATAAACGTTCTATTTGCAATTAATTAACACTCAAACATTTTTCAAGTATTTATTTCTGTTTGCATTGTAAAATCGGGTAAAAGCAAGTTATAGTCTCAAAGTAGAAACTATGAGTGCTGTAGACTAGAAAGAACTAAATATGGCAGCATGATCTCTACAGCAAAATGTGAATTCAGCTCAAAATGTATATGGTTCAAATTCTATAGCAGCTCTAGCAAATGACGTATTAAAGCCTGATAACATTTTAAATTTCAAGCAAATGTAAAATTGAAATTCAATTAAAAGTTCTAAAAAATTGTTCTAATATCGAAATTAATTTTTACGAATTAAAATTTTTTCATTACAGTGGTGCCTCTTTCATCGAATTTAATTCATTCCAAGAGGCCATTCGAACTCCGAATCAATTTTCCCCATTATTCATAATGGAAAGTAAATTAACTCGTTGGCGGTTATTTTATTCATTTATTAATATTTTAAACATTATTCATTCTCACTCACCCGTAAAAGTTAGATGAGAAGGTTCGATTTCCAATTTGTTACTCATGTTTATATTTAATTTACAATTAAAATCTTTCCGTTCGAGTCGTGAATTCAAATTATAGTTCGTAACGGAACCGAATTTTAAAATTTAAAAGTTTGCCTTTGACGAATGATGGCGCTTCGATATATAAATATTTTTAAATCGTATTTTTCGAATTTAGGTGTTTTTTTTTTAAACATTTAATTAAATGGAATTCAATAGATGGTTAATTGAATCATTTATAATAATTTGTTAATTTAAACAGTTACATTAATATTTAAGTTTAATTAATATATTTGTTTATCGGCTGAGCTGTCAAAGTGGCAACTTACCTCTCTGGGGGACCCGGGATCGAATCCGAACTTGGTCGAAAATCCCCAGGAATTTTTCGGCGGGGGTGATTCCTTTGGATATGTCGGGCCCGTCTTTCACTGCCCGGCCGTCCCATTGTCCAAATCCATAATGAGTTTGCAAATGAGGCCCTCTTACTGCCCAACCGGCCGACAAAGTTAAAAAAAAATAAGTGGTTCCTGTTCAGTGTCGTCTTCACGCGTGGGCACGCTAGGCAGTTGCCCGGAATCCCCACGCTAATTTATGCACAGACAAATTTAAAACTAATTTTCTGATCACCTGCCGGTTGTGTATGCAAGGCTCCTTGCACTGTTTTGTCCAGGGGCTTAAAATGATGTTAAGAAGGCCTTGCTCCCGTCTCTATAAAATTAATGTTATTTTTGATAATAGAAAATACAAACTTTAAGACTTTTGTTTATTAATAAAGAAAAATTCTACATATTTCATTTGTTCAAATAATAAATAAACAAAAATAAAATGATAATAATGGATAAAGGAGCCCATTCTATTATTGGACTGGCCACGCGGAGTTTTCCAGGTTTTCTTCACTTTAGTAACACCTAAAGTACTCTAGTAACATCTAAATGGGGGCCAGTTCTCTTAAAATACCTCCCGGAAGGTATTCCCCGGCAGATTTGCCGTAATCAAAAATCAAATAAACTAAATCAATATAACTGTAGATAATGGTCTGCTGACAGCGGGTAATACAGTTGGATAAGCAAACTAATGACGCATTCCATTTCAAACGAAACGGACAAAATGCCATTGATTTGCTTATCAATTGAATTGTATTACAGCTACTTAACCAGGCAACGTGCCCAATGTTATGCAAGTAAAGATTGCAACATATACATTTCAATACGATAATTAGACGACAAGATGACCGAGCATCAGCCTACCGCTCTGGGGAACGCTCAATCGAATCCGTGCGAGTGTTCCCAGAAAATTTTCGAAGTGTCCTTATCACTCCATTACGAGCTTGGCTAAACCCACGATGGATATGATTAAAAGACTCTTGTGGCGTCTTCAGGGAAGAAAGACAAAAAAAAAAAAAAAAGCAATTTAAGATAATAGAGAGGTTGCGGCCGACGTTTTCATCGCGAAAACGTGTACGTCGGACGTTTAGCGCCGCTTTCCTGTAAGCCTAGAAGTTTGACAATGGCGTTTGGAACGTCAGTGGAATCATGCTCGACGTATCAAACGCCATTGTCAAACTTCTAGGCTTACAGGAAGGCGGCGCTAAACGTCCGACGTACACGTTTTCGCGATGAAAACGTCGGCCGCAACCTCTCTATTATCTTAAATTGCTTTTTTTTTTTTTTTTTTTTTTTTTTTTTTTTTTTTTTTTTTTTTTTTTTT